TTACTTAAACACGTACCTTTCTCCATGTAAACATTTTCGGCGTTCGGTCCTTTCTTCAAACATTCAGTTTCATGTAGACACAACATAGCCACTTACCTGAAAAGAGAAATAAACAATGATTTTTTTTATATGTCTATTTTTACAGTCACTTGTCGACCACATTGTACTTCATTACACACAAAGACATGAGAATACAGAAGGGTGCCACCTCCGTAAAAGATTGTTTGCCTAACGCTTAATATGATCAATGGTTAAAGTCTAGATATTGTAAGAAACGTTCTAATTGGACCAAATAATAGTGTTCTTTGGACAAGAAAGGGAAGAAGAGAGAGAGAAAGAGAGAGTAGCAAGGGAGACAAGAAAGCATGATGGGAAAAAAATGAAGAAAAAAAGACTCGTGTATCCTGAACCATTGTTGTCTAGAAATCCACATCGGGGAAAGGCTGGCAGTCTTACAGAATCGGATACATCCTCATCATCAACCCCACGACTAGCTGTGGTTCTAGGTTCTCTACACAACTGAGTACATGACCAGCTCCCTTTACATGTTTTAGCCTTGTGCCAGTGTCTGGGTTGCAAATCGTGCGTAGCGTGTCTTGACAGAAGTGATCTGGCGGAGCCCATTTCTTATCGGGTCAAATGCCAACCAATGTCGTCCGACTTGAAGACGCGCTTTTGCTCACGGACACGTTGGTTCCATCGGCTGAACCTCCCGACGTGGCCGGCGACATCAGTCGAGGAAGCCCCTCCCCTAAGGATGCCATCTCTTGCCACCCTGGATATATATAGTCGGTAGTTCAGTCACGTGTGCAAATGTAACCGGAATCCGGGTGAGATTGGTTCTAGTTAGAGAGACTCAGAGTCCATTGTAGTGGGATACCAGACGCTATTAAGTAAGAAGGTATTTTACTAGAGACACGTTAGAATGAACGGATCGTCATCAAGTATATTATTAAGACTATTATTACTAATATTACTACTACTAATAATAATAATAATTACTAATATTAGTATTGTTATTGTTCTTGAAAAAATTGTTTGAATTTTAAATAATGGAAAATAATTGATTATACATAATAAATAGTTAGAAATACAAATTATAAAAGAAACATTAAGATTGGAAACACTTCTAAAAATTTGAAAATACATTAGAAATGAAAAAAAAGTTTAATGATTACAACTGAATGAAAAGAGAAAAAGTGAAAAAGAGAGAAAAAACAGTATGGAGTGACTGTAAAGTAAAAAAAAATACGACGAAAAGAATGAATAACCACGACATTCTACACGTACGCACATGCGCGCAGAAGGGCGCATGCGCTCACGCATACGAACGCACACATGCACAAAGACATACACTATGAAAAAAAAAACTTACACCAATGAAAAGTGCGTATAAAATACAATATGAATTAAGATTTCATTAGGTTAATGATCATTTTCACCTTGTAAATTAAATAAAATTTACAAGGATTTTTCAAACCAGCCAATTTATCTCTCTTTCTCTCACTATATATATATATATATATATATATATATATATATATATATATATATATATATATATATATAGGTAACTATACTCGTTTCGAAAAAACCTTCGAATTTTGATTTGCCAGTAATCAAATCAATCTGGAAGGAAAAAAAGGTTTAAAAAAAAAGAAAGAACTAGAAACATGAAAGTCTGTCGAAAAAAATCGCACAGATACAGGTTTAAAGCCCAAAGAAAAAACAACTAACTAAAAAAAGACCTCAATACTACCGTAGAGCAGACCTAGATAAACCTAGTGAGCCAGACAAACCTACCCAGGTTTCACCTAAGCGGATCGTCAGGGAAATCTGGCTAAAGAGGCAAAAGAGAAACAGCATATTTATAAGCGATAATCAAAATCATACCACGTGAACAAAGAAAATGAAAACCAAGAAAAAAAAATTATATATATATAATGAAATGAACAAAGACCAACAATTGTTTTAATATATTTCTCGGACATTCAGACCGGTAAATATTATTAATACTGTTTAAACGGAGCATTTACTTAAATATCTATATCTATAAAAATAACGTATAACAGAAAAAATACCAATGATGCTATTTTGCCATGCCGTCAAAAATGGGGGAAAATGTTAAAAATTTCTAATACTATGATGCAAAGAATAAAAGGCCTTGAAATAATGCATTGAGATTCAATGAAGGTGAAATCCAGAATCTACAACAAAAAATAGAAGCCAATGAACCGTTTAATTAACCCTTTTTGTTATCTTACATAACACAACAAGCATAACAATTATATGTATTTAATTATATTGCATAACGAATGTTTAGAATTCAGAACTTAGGCAGAAGTCACTGAAGTGTTTCCACCGTTACCTCGCTTATTACTACGTTTCTTGTAATAATTTGTTTTTAAAACGATTTTCTTGGTTGTTCTTACTTTTGATATCAAACTGCTAAAATAGAAAAACACCTCTCTATGCGTTACAGATCTCAGAAATCATTTCGGAACTTAAAACTTAATGATCAAATGTTTAGTGAAGCAATTCCTTTATCACTATGCCGTCCTGGGTATGGCGATAAACTACATCCGCGTCCTGGGTAAGACGATAAACTACATCCGCGTCCTGGGTAAGACCATAAACTACATCCGCGTCCTGGGTAAGACCATAAACTACATCCGCATCTTAGGTAAGACCAAAAACTCCATCCGCATCCTAGGTAAGACCATAAACTACATCCGCGTCCTGGATAAGACGATAAACTACGTACAGCAGCAAGACCTCTGATCAGCAGGTTCTGAGGAGCGTGGAACCATCTCTTAATTGATGGTGTTCTCAGGACCATCTTAACTCGGGGTGGTAACACCTGTTAGGGTCCCAAGTATGGGCAAATAGTTAACACTGAACATGTTGTCAAAATACTATATAAGTGTAAAAATAGGTTTTAATACCAGAAATACTTGTAAAAAATTATTACCAGCAACAAAAATATTACCAACAATCCTTTTTTTTAAAAAAAAAAAATATTGCAAGCTATAACATTTTTGAGGAAAAAATATTACCAGAGATAGATTTTTGACAAAAGAAAAAAATTTTACCAGCAATAAAAATTTTGTCGGCATTAAATAACCGATTGAGGTTGATACACCGTAAAATAAACCAAACCAAACCAAACCTTTAAAACTATGCTTCTTTTCATGGGTTGGTTAATAAGATTTTCTTGGTTGTCTTTATATTCGTTGCTTATTTTGAGGCAGATTTTATTTTTTGCTCTGCTGAGCGCTACGGACAGCTGACCATGAACAAACACTGGTAAACAGACACCAAGAGGAGAAAATAATTGAGTTTCTAACTTGCAGATAGAATTGAAAAGTGCGTGACACGAAAGATATAAAAAAAAACATATGAAGAAATACACAATGGTAATTATTATATAGTGTTCATGTTAGCAATTATAATATTCGCTGTCACCGACTAGAACGTTTAGAGTTGAACATTAGTGTTGAACTAAAGGCTTTCAAGAATATGAAACAAGCGGTGGGATGCTGAATAGATTTTATATAACTTTGATTAAAGAAGAAATTATCAGTTGTTAATAATAATAATAATAATAATAATGAGATAGGACCTGTTACAATTCTATGGGACTACACAATACACACTGACAGAACAATCAAGGCCAACCGGCCAGATATTGTTATTAAAGACCACAAACAAAAATGATGCCTCCTTATTGATATGGCAGTCCCTGCTGACTGCAATGTATCTTTGAAGATATTCAAAAAGTTGTCAAAGTACAAGGACCTTGAAATAGAAATCTCGAAAATGTGGCATATGGGAACATCAACAATCCCTGTTGTAGTTGGAGCCCTAGGACTGGTTGGAAAAGATTGCAGTAGACTAATTGAAGGGATTCCTGGAAGTCCATGCCTCAAGGAGATACAAAAAATTTTCTGACAAGTACAGCCCAAACCTTACGAAGGGCTTTATCTATGTAATTTAATTTTTTTTTTTTTTTCAGTGGAAAGTGTCATGACGCCATTTCTAACCTAAGGTCCCTGGGCGGGACCCGGAAAGAAATGTGTAAACGCCAGAAATCAAAGAAATAATAATAATAATAATAATAATAATAATAATAATAATAATAATAATGATATGCACAATATAGATTGAGAAAATTACGAACTACTCCGATTTGAAAGTTGAGTTGGCAAGAATGTTTGGAAAACAAGAAGCGAAATTCAAGGTGATTCCAGTGGTGGCTGGAGCACTTAGATCAATTCCATTATAACTGTGACTTCCGTAACCGACTAGGAATACCTTATAAACATGAAATCAGCGAAAAATCGGCTCTTTTCGGCACAACACATATTTTGAGGAAAGTGCTTTCTTTCTGAGGTGCTTGTTAATTAAAAGACAATTTAATGTACCCGGTGTATTCAAGAATTTACATTGTGCGATCACACACACACACACACACACACACACACACACACACACACACACACACACACACACACTTAAACTCTTTCCTCTCATAATAAATAATGTTGGGAAATTTTACATCAAATTAATATTATTATAAAATTAAAAAAAAATATTTATGTTAATGTATGAATCAGCAGAATAAATCTCCCATTTTAACCCGGGGGATGGGAAAAGACAATGGAATCTTGGCAAGCAGACAGAGAAAGATAAGCAATGGAATTGGAATAAAGTGATGCGCTGTGTGGTGTAACGGCTAGGAATAAAAAATCTGAGAGTCGAGTTCGAATTCCAGTCGGTTTCATTACATTCACTTACGCACAAATACCCTTGGGAAACTGTTGTAGCATACCTACGCACGATAATGGGTATTTTCTCATTCACATAAATACAGTATTCAATGCATGGACAAATGAAAAGAACTTACACAGATTTAGCTATTTCAATAGTAAAATGATGAGACCTAGTTGCCAATCGAGTAGTGCGTTTAAATTCATGCGGTCGGCATACCAATGAGCTCATCAGTAGAGAAGAGAGAAGAAAAAGATTGGGGGAGGAGAAACTATGAAAACCAAAATGACAGAGAGAGAGAGAGAGAGAGAGAGAGAGAGAGAGAGAGAGAGGACGAGAAGTGACAGAAATAGTAAAAAGAATATGATGGAGGGGATGAGGGAGCAGAAGTAATCAGTAACGCAAGAATGGAAGGTAGAATAGAAGATGCAAATAAAAGAGGAATAGTAGAGAGATAAAAAAGGAGAAGGAGGAGGAGAAGGAGGAGGGGAAGGAGGGAGAAAAATCGGATGCCGAGTCAGATAAGAAAAAGTCAAGATAAAAAAGAGGAGAAAGACAAAGAAAGAGAGAGAATTGGAAGAAAAGAGGTAATAGAATATCAAAGAGGAGTGAGAATAGAAGCCGAAAAGGATGATGTAAAGAAGAGACGCTGAACGAGCGAGCAAAAGAGAGATAGATAGATAGATAGATAGATAGATAGATAGATAGATAGATAGATAGATAGAGAGAGAGAGGTGGGGAGAAGAGAAAGATAAAACACTAATGAAAGAAGGAAAAGAAGAGAAGAGAAAAAAAAACGTAAAACAATGTAAGAAAGAGGCATAAGAACAGAACTAATAGAAAAAGGAAGTTGGATGAGCGGGCGAAAGATTGGTCGCAAAAATGTGAGAGAGAAAGAAAATAGGGATAGAAGAAAATACAGACGTTACGGAAGAGTAACAATAATAGCGAAGGGGGAGGAAGAGGAGAAAGAAAAAAATGAGGAGAAAGAAACGAAGCCGAAAAAAAAAAGGAAAAAGAACGAAACTAATAAGGAAATAAAATATGAAGTTGAGGAAGAGGAGGAAGAGCAAGTAGTAAAAGAAAGTAAATGAGATGTGAGAAGAAGAAACAAAAGTAGACGAATAAGTATTAGTAGTAGTAGTAGCAT